CGGCGATCATCCCTGGCGAGAGCCCTGCCGCCCTCGCGTGACCATTGCCATCGTCCATAGCTTTCAGTTTCGGTGATCCTGTCATCCCATCATCAAGGCCGTGTTGCATTTTCAGGCCGTCCTCGATCCCGACGAGGACCCGCGACCAGTAGCCGTGCTCCACCGGTGACTTGCCGGTCTTTCCCCGCTCGATTCTGTTTGTTGACGTGTCTCCAACGTCTCCATCATCTCGTTGTTCACGTGTGCCAACACCTCAGCTGAAACGCACGACCACCGGGCGAGCCAAATATGAATTGTCGAGCCTCTCAACGCGCATAGCACGCCCCGTTCGACCCGTTTCGTACCCCGTCCCAAGAACGATACCGAGCTGATCCTCTTTAAATATTTTGAGTATATAATGTGATGATATGTATGATATGAGTTGAGCCTTAGTGAGATTTGCTTAATAGGATTAGGTATTCATTGATTTATCGTGAGTTATGTTCGAATTATGTGTTATCATGTGAACTTGTGTTGAAATCATGTTAGGGCTGACCTCCCTATATCTTATATGTGCGTATTTGAGATATATGATGTGATTATACGTGACTTGTTGATGCTCGGTTCATGAGGGTATGATTTGGGTTGGCATTTAATTGAAAACTCCATGTTAAAGCCGCTGGTTGTGCTCAGTTTTTCGTAACCAAGAAGTTGTTTCTTGAACAAGTGTTCATCATAAAAATTGTAGTATTTGGAGTTAGGGTTCAGTGAGATTTAGAATTTTAAAATTTGGTGTTGATTCGAATTTATTATGAATTTTTGAAGTTGTACATGCATGCAGTTTTTGTAATTTCGGGCAGAATTGTAGATCAAGATATTGGGCTGATTTTGATAATCTTAATGTTGCTATGTGATAATATTATCATCATGATAATATTATGAGCTTTCATTAGGAGTTGAAATCATGCAATTTGGAGTTTTGGTTGATTTTATATGATTTTTCAAAGTTGGGGTTATGCCCAGAATTTTTAAAACAGTCGCTGTGTATATGCTTAGAATGTATGCTCTGAAAGGATGCCTTTAACATAATTATTTGTAAAAATGCTTTTCTTGAAACTTGTAGAATTCTAAGTTTAGTTTCTGTAGGTTTTGAGTTTGTATAATTTGAAGTTTTATAACTTGAGATATTGCAGTTTTAGTGAAGTACAGTAATTTGATAAATAATTATGTTGACAGATTTCTTGACCTAAGTGTTTTATGCTTAAACTCGGTTTTAAAGCTATTGTTGGCTTAAATGATCAACATGAAAATTGGGAATATATGTGTTAGCTACTCATGGGCTCTAGAATCACCTGAATAGCATATATATAGCTCATGTTATCTTGGAAATACTGAGACTATGCGAGTTGTTCATTTTATTTCTAGATTTCAACTATGTTTTGTGTCGTTGTTGAATTATCTATGTGGCTGAGATATATTGCATGAGATTAGTTGTATTGGTCCGTGTGTTGGATAGTCTCTTATAGGACTATTTTGTATAATGTAGGTTTCTGACGAGTTGTGTTCTCGGCCTACTATATTCCCTTGATTTTCTGTGATTTCTTTCTCCGGTTACCAGGTGGGTTTTAATTATGAATTGCTATGCCTTAATTGACTGTTATTGTTGTGGTATGATCAACGTATGCATGTGAACCATGTAGCCTTTGATGTGAGCTATATTGGTCGTCGAACGGTTATCCCTATAGCTATAGAACGTATCTTCGGGTAGTCTCCTCTATTTATATATGGCAGTCAGGGCATGAGCCTTGGCTGTGATCCTCGTATGTAAGGCCAAGACGAAAGTCTAGGCATTCGGGGTGGATTTACTCCTGCTGGCGTGGCATCGATGCAAGGCCCGAGGGGCATTCGATACGTGTATCAGCAGCAGTCTATTGATATAGGTGTGCACATGAAGGTTGACTCTAGGGTAGGAGATGGGATATTAATTAATTTGTGTTCATACTGCGACCATACCTGCTTTATTTTTATGAATTTGAATATTAATTATTGCATAGCGGTGGGCACCTCGATTTTCCTAGTGTGCTCACCCCCACCTGCTCTTCATGGATGCAAGTTAGTATTTGCAGGCACGAAAAGAGGAGGCGAGTGGTGGTCATGTTATTGATTCTATTTCCGCTGTTCTGAACTGTTTAATAGCATTTATGCATTTCTGAATTATGTTGATTATCAGATTATTGTTACAGAGTGTACTTCCTAGTATTTATGAATTTGAGAAACCCAGTTTTGGGAGAATGAAGTTTGATGAACCCGGTTTGGGTGTTGACATGATTATTGGACCCATTTGAGAGTTGCATTTATGATATTGTTGAAAATGTTTCTTTTAGTAGCGCCTCAAGTGTTTTGAAAATAAATTCGAAAAATTTATTCTGAATTTCGTCAATTAAAAGTGGGGCGTTACATCATATCAAGGATATTTTTAAGTAAACATGTCATGTGTATTTTAACATGTTTGAGTTATTATACTTTTTTGATGCATGCTTGCATTTGCTTCTGCACTCAGCTTTTCAGTATTTCAGTATTCAGAATTTCAGTTCATGCATGCCAAATTCCAGTATCTTTCATGGCGTCTATTTTTAGAGTAATGGAATTTTACTTGGTTGCATGCACAGTAATAAAAGAGCTCAGTTATAAGATTAAAGTATTTTCAGAAATTAAATCAGTGTCTTTCCAAATATATCGCGAAAAATTTTACTCTAATTTTAGTAAGTTTAGGCGGGGTGTTAAAAATATCAACTATTATTGTTTTGAAAACTCGACCAAACTTGTTGTTGAATCGAGAATCGATCAACTAAACAGTTTGATTCCTTTGAATGAATTGGTTTCCAATGAACCAGTTAGAATTAGTTGAATAGACTGATAAATTATATTTATATTTATAAATAAGTTAATAAATATTTATATTTTTATATATAACAAAAATATAAATTTAAATATATCTGATATATATAATTTCAAATATATTTGAAATTATATTATAATGTTTTTTATATTTAAAATATTTTTATTTAAATAATAAATATATTTACAATATAATTATTTAATTTTATTATAATCATAGTGGTTGACAAAAATAAAAATATTATTGTAGAGGTCAATAAAAAATTTAAAATATAAAATAAAAATAAAAATAATAGAAACTACTATTATTTTTAAAATTGGGCTAAACTGACTGTTTAAATCTAGTATCAGTCAATTAAATGGTTAGATTCCTTTAAGCGAATTGGTTTCCAATGAATCAGCCAAAATTGGTTGATCGGACTCAAAATTTTTTTTAAAAAAAATAAGTTAATAAATATTTACATATTTTTAATATAAAATAAATATAAATTTAAATATATTTGATCAAATACGATTAAATTTATAATCTTATTATTATATTAAAAAGATTGAATTACAATACAACTTGTTCCATACTTCAAATATTCTTAATTAGATAATAAATATATTTGGAAAATAATTATTTAATTTTATTATAATTATAGTGGTTGATTAAAAATTAAAAAATAAATGTAGAAGTAAATAAAATTTTAAAAAACAAAAATAATTTTTTTTAAATATATTATTTAATTAGAAAAAATTGAAATAGAGAAAACATTGTAAGAATAATTATTATTATTTTTGTCTCTTTTTTACTATCAAAGATTGTTAAATATTCAATGAATAAAAATTGCAATAAAAAATAGTAAAAAAAAAAAAAAAACTATTTTTAACATTTTTGGACTAAATGTGCTACACAAACCAATCTTATAGGATTATATTTGTAATTTTCTCCTTTTTCAACCTAAGTGTTGTTGTGCTAGTGTTTGGGCAGGGGTTAGCTGGTTGGGCAGGGTAGTGTTGAGTTGTTTAGTTTGCTGGTTGATGTTAGTTGGTGTAGTCAAGGTTCAGGTGCCTGTACCTGCTTGATATCTCAGTGGGTTTGTCTAGGCCACTATTTTAGTGTGTTTTCCAATTTATTTTTCTACTCGTTGGTAGTCGCGGATGTTATGTACTAACTTTTATTCGTTGTTATGAGAATATCCTATCGTTTGAAAGAAAAAAAAAAACTTAACTACCGTTGGCCACGTGAGTCCATATCCATTATCTTTTCACGGTGTTAAAAGAAATAAGAACTAAAATTGCGCGTTTAATAAAATTGGGGATAAGAAGATCAGTAAGACATAAATCAGGATGGTCGACTCCTCCAACTGTGGGAAATTGTTTCCGGCAATTATCTTCGCTGTACTCTTACTGTGTTCCGATGCAGTTCAGGCTAAATCTCGTGTCCCGATTACGGTGAGTATGAGATCTTTATTTTTCTCAAATATATTATTAGTTTTTTCGAATTAATTGATCGAATCCTTGTTCACCTTTTCATAGGACACTGAGATTCAACAGAAGAAAAACGATTGCTATGAAGACATCGAGAGGTACTGTTCTCAATTTCATATAATTTGTGTACTTAGGTTTGCCTTTGTTTTTTATAGTTCGATTTATCACTGAAAATGTGTTTGTATATGTGTTTTTTTTTCTAAGAAAACAAGAAAGATAAGGGGGAAAAAAAAGGAAATTTCTAGTTTGTTCTTGATTAGGGGAGTGTCAGCGAACACTATTGAAGTGCTTTCCAGCTTATGTTTTCTACATTAATGAACAAAGATGCGTTTATTCTTTTCCTTATCTTAATTTTCTCGTCTTAGTTTGGAGTTCAGGCACAACCCCTTTATGTGAATCTCATTGTTGGCTTAACAAGTTATATGCATTTGATTTATTTGAAGTGGATTATGGGGTCAGCAATGTAAGTCTTCAACTATAGCTAAGGAAAATTGTGCTTTACGATGTCTGTCGCCAGTTTGTTACGAGCTCATCTACGAAAGTGATCCGGTGAGTTTTTCATAGCTGATTTAAACTAATATCCAGTGCTGACATGTTTATGTGAGGTGTTCACAGTTAATGGTCAGAGAGTGTAGAAAAGCTACTGTTTTTATGATTCTGGTTTCTTAATATGGTCAGAGAATGTAGAAAAGCTACTGTTTTTATGTTTTGGTTGCTTAATTTAGTGGTGATGACTGTGTTTTTTGTGGATTATTGAACTGAACAGTTGGAAGAAGGGGAGAAAGACTTCACTAGGAGTTCAGAGTACAAGTACTGCATGCACAGGTAAATCGGCTATGTGGTATACTGGTAGTTGGTGCTGCAATACATTTTGTGAAATAAGCTTATGTTATACTGTGTGGTTATGTAGTTTATGGTGGATTTTTGTTGCTGGCTAGTAAAATATGCTAGTGGTGTTGAGTGGGAAACTTTCTCCATTGGTATTTCAAGATGTGCCATCTATTCTCGGGCTATGATTGTATTTAGAGTGAGGATGGACTTATTCTAATTTGAATACATATTAGACATCTAGATGCATATGAGTTCATGAAGATAATTTTCAGCGTTATTATAGGAAAAGTATGTAGTTTTTATAATAAAGTATGATAAGTTGATCATTCTACCAATTAGATTATCTACCAACATTAATGTGAGTTGGAGTTACTCATCACTGATCTCAATCGCATTATAACCACATTGGTTCCTAAGAAGTTAGGTGATCCCAGATTAGTATTATAATTTATATACATTTTAGTTAACTAGTACAATGTCCATATATTACACGAATGTCCATATATTACACGGGTGCTTGCTAATTTTTTTCTTAAAATCTAAAATTAATGAGAAATGTGGTTGAAAATTTAAATATCTTTTGTATATATATATATAGTATGACATTTTTTATTTGCGCGACTTGCCTGTGTTATATTATAATAATTTTTTTGACTTACAACATATAATTACATTAAACATGAATATATCAATTGAAAAATAATTTTATTTTTCTAATGAATTTTAACAAATATTATTTTTTATTATTATAAAGATAAATATAATTTATTTATTTCATATATACAATATGGATGTGAAATCGAAGATTTTTTGATGATTAATTTGATATATTATATATGTAAAATCGATAAGAAATACAAAAGTTATCAACTTTAAAATACATTTACATTTCAATAGCTAATTGTAGGAAGCAAATCAAAAGTCAGGGATATATTAGTCACTTAGTGTCTCACTATGTAAAGTTACAAAAATTAAAGGGTTATATTAGTATAAGTGATATTAAAATATCTATCTATTGTGTTTCATCTCCATAGAATGGCTAGGTTTTACGTTGGCTCGCCAAGCCTATCACAACCCTCCTCCTTTACCAGGGCTTGGGACCTGCTATGTTGAAACAACA